TCCCTTCTTCTCCATTCCCCTCTCAGGATCTTGGGCACACACACACGTGCCTGGCGTGAGTTTAAGCCACTGGGCCCGGGACTTGAACCACGGTTGGCTACATGGGAGTCCAGCGACATAGCCATTACGCCAACTGCTGGTCCCTTTAATTCTTTTATTTTTTAAATTTTAATTTATGTATTCAGTCATTATACATCAATACAGTATACAAACTGAGATCCATCCAGAGTACATTATATATTGGCTCAGTCAAGGATATTACCATCCATGTTATCATCAATAAATAATTTTCTTTGTTTCTTATATATTTTGCCCCACCCCCCTTGATTCCTTACCTCTCACCCTCTTCCAGTTCCCCCCTTATTCCCATACTATCTCTGGTATCTACAGTTGTTTTCCATGCCCTTTTTTTTTCTTTCCCACATTTTATTGAGTCACTAAAGATCTTAATCAAGTTAAAAACTTTCAGTGGGAAACACAGCTGATATATACATATCTATGAATACTTGTCTGACTTTAGGCATAAACCTCAGTGAATAAAGTGAACATACTATAAAGTATCATTTCGCTGGGGATAATATAGCTTACTGCAGTTATTAAATAGGTTTTAATAGGGTTTTTTTTTTTTTGAGAGGTTTATGCACTCACCAGAAAGACAGAGAGAGACAGAGAGATAGAGAGACAGAAAGCGAGAAATCACCCCCTAGGGGGATGGCCACACCTCCTCCATTCTCCTCTTGGAATCTAGGACACGCACGCACACGCGCGCGGTGGGAGTTTCAAGCCACCGGGTCCGGGACACGAACCGCTGTCAACTAAGTGGGAGTCCAGCGACATAGCCATTACGCTAACTGCTGTTTCCAGGTTTTGTGGTATTCTTAATCTTGCTTTTCCTAGTGGAATGGATTTTTTCCTCTCCGTTCCTACTCTATTGACTTACTTGTCCCATATCTTTCTAAGCTGGCACTTACCTCATCTGTCCTGCATTTGCCTCATTTTTCAGAGGCACTCTGCCATGTTGCTTTCTCTGAGCTCAGGAAATTGCTCATGTTGACCTTTAAACCCTCCCTGACCTGGCCTGATGTATCTTCAGCCTTATATTCCGCTGCCCTCTGCAAGCAGGACAGGCTTGTCACTGACCACTGCCAGCCCCCTTCCCTTTTTTCTGTGTAGTTATTTTTATTTTTAATGTCCAGAGTTTGTAAGACAAGGGCTAGAGCTTCCTCCCAGACACAGAAATTTTATAAATTCCTAGTTGGCTGGTGAAGACAACAGGGGTACTTCTTCTTGTCCAGTGTTTCTGGGAAGACTTCATTCAGGTCCTCAGTGGTCATCTGATTAAATCGAATTATGTTCTTCATCTCCTGCTGATTTTGATATTCTTCATGGGCTTTTGTGAGTGACACATACTCAGCATAACTTTTCACGTCTTCCTTTTCTTCATCGTCCACCTGGACAGTGTATTTATCCTGTGGCACAGGAACCTTCAGGGCATTAAACTTCTCAAAGTCATCCCTGCCGTGGCCACGTTGGCCTTATAGTAAGCCCAGTCGATAGCTGGCAGGTTCTCAGGTGGTGCAGTCACCCTGGAGGTGAGAGTCTCATTCCAGGTTTTCAGGGAGTTAGCAATGGCCTTTTGGTTTTGGGGTATTATTTCCCAAATGCTACCCAGCCCGTTATTTTTAGAGCAAGTTTTCACCCAACCCTCTTGCAATCTGTCACTGATCCCAGCAGCAAGTAACAGAAGTGGGTCCCCAGCCCTTTCTTACCTTCAAGCATCTGTTCCTTGTTTATGCAACCTCTCTGCTAGGACTTCCTTCCCTCTTTCTTTTCTGCCACCCCAGACTCTATAGTCCCTGATGCCAGCCTTTTCTGAAGACATGTAGTATACACAAGTTACATGTGCCACATCCCAGCAGAGACCTGGAAACACCCTACAGCTTCCCCATCAGTAAAATGAAGAAAAAAATGGGTTTTTAGCCTTTGGGGGATTTCAAAATTGTGGGACCTAATTTTTTCCTTCCTTCCTTCCTTCCTTCCTTCCTTCCTTCCTTCCTTTTCTTTTCTTTTCTTTTCTTTTCTTTTTTTTTTTTTGGTGATTTTTGCTATAGGTGTGTGTGATCACCAGAGAGACAGAGAGGGAGAAAGAGGGAAAGTGGGAAAGCACCTCCCAGAGGGTATGGCCACACCACATTCTCCTCTTCTCCATTGTCTTCTTGGGATTTGGGATATACATGCACACATGCCCAGCATATTTTATAAGCTGCCAGGTCCGGGACTGGAACTACACAGTCAACCCTGTGGGATCCAGCATTCTTCACCACCACACCACTGACTGATCACCTCCCCCACCCCCATTTTTTTTTTTTAAGAGATTTTTGCTATAGGGCGCATGTGCTCACCAGAGAGACAGAAAGTGAGAAATCATCCCCCATTCTCCTCTCAGGAGTTTGGTCACACATGCACATGCACCCATTGTGAGTTTTTAAGCCACCAGGTCTGGGATTTGAACCACAGTCAACTAAGTGGGAGTCCAGCAACATAACTATGATGCCATCTGCTGGTCCTGACTGACTAGTCCTTTTAAAAAATTAAAAAACTTTTCCCCCTTAATTTGTTGGTGGGCATGTGTGCTCACTGGAGAGAGACAGAGAGAGATACAGTGAAAAAGTACCCCCGCCCTCTACAATGGTCACACTGCAATCCTTTCTGTATTTCTCCCTCCTTTCAGGATTTTGGCCATGCTTGCATTCATGCCCAGTGTGTTTCTCAAATTCTGTAGTTGACTCTGTGGGATCCAGCCACCGTAACCACCTAGTTTTCACACAGTAAACTTTAATTTTTGCATAAAGCCTTTATTAGCAATTTCTTCAACAATGAAGCTAAGTCCAATGGAAGCTATAAAATAGAAAAATGAGCAAATAAATATTCTTGATCTCAGTGTTTTCCCTTTCTTTAATCTTTTGTAGCCTGAAGCACTAGTCAGTATGTAATGTGTTTGTGGAATAGAATTAGACACCTTAGGACTTGGGTGTTGGTGCTGAGTAGCCAGGGTCACTTGGAAGGCCTACTGGGCTGACAGGGAGAAGCTTTCATTCCTGATTTAACTTGAGTCTTGTTATTTTTATATATACCCAGGATGTACTTGATCATATTTCTGTGCTTCTGACTGGCATGCTTCTTCTGTTCAAGGAGATGCAACTTTTCTAGATAGTTCCAGCATGAGCTGTTTTTGTAGGGAGCCTTGTCCTCTGTGTTTTATTTGTGGTATCTTCTTCTTCAGCTGCAGGAAATGCATTTTGTCAGGCAGCCAAACTCCACATGCAGCTTCAGAGCAAACACGACTCTGCTACCAGCTTTGTGGATGCTGGGAACGCTTACAAAAAGGCAGACCCGCAAGGTAAGATGGCGCAGCACGCAGAACGTGCATCTCTGAGTGTTACTGACTAGGCATGTTTCCTTCATCAGTAAGGCCAACATTGGCATTCTTTTGCATCTTGAATAAAAGGGATTTTTATATTTGGAAGAATAGAGAAATTTGGGTAACTAGGAAGTTTTTTTTTCTTTAATCATTTATAAGCTTTCCTGAGAAGAAAATATTACATTTGTTTTGGCCAGTTGTCAACACCCTTTTCTTCGATTCAGTTTATGTTTCATTTTAGAGATTTTTTTGGGAAGTTGCCTTTAATTATACCTAAGACTTCTTATATCTTATTTTGATAAAATACATATATTTAATATAAAAGCAAACTCTAATGTCCTCTTTAAACATCTAGTGAGTTTTAAGATCTGTTTGAGAGGTTGTAATATCCCAAAGTTAAAAACATTTCTATATTCAAACATAATTTATTTGTTTTTCAAAACAGTGTTTTTTAAAGGTTTTGTCTTTATCCTCTGAGGAAAGAATGAAATTGGATAATCAACATGGTAAATTTTGTAAATGTTATTTTTTTTAGTCAGAAGAGAGCAATTAGTGATTAAAAGCATTAATGTCTTCTCCCACTTCGGTGCACAGATGGCTTTGAGTATTCTCTTTTTCTTTTAGCAGTCCATTTTCTTTAGCACATAAATTCCAACTTTATGAACATATAAAGGAATAAGATATTTTTAAGGGCTTTTATACAAAGATTAGTCACAGTTTACTTCCAAAAGTGGGAAATCGGGCACAGTCTAAATGAAGAGCAGTGGTAGAATGAGAAAATTACGATGTCTAAGTGTTTAGAGTAAGATGCAGACATTAAAATCCCCAGTTTCAAAAAGTCTTCAGTGATCTGGTAATTGATCACATGGAAATTAAATTCCCACATGAGACTCAATGTTGTGTGATCTTAGTGTCAGAGAAAAGTTTGTGCTGGTAGGAATTCACCCCCAAAACCCTAGAAGGAAGAGTGTAACAAAATACTGGTACTTGGTGTGAGTGGAGATCCAGGGGGATATAGATGGGCTGTTTCTCTTTTTTTTTTTTTTTTGTATTTTTTAAAAGTGTAACAATGAATCCACTCCGCGGGGGGTCGTTTTTAATTTTTGTTGACCTAATTACCATTCATTTTTCTTCCTTTTTTTTTTTTTAAATAAGGAAGTAAGGGTAAGAGTGAGGCTGGGACTTTTTCTTTTTTTTTTTGCCACAGGGCGCGTGCACTCGCCAGACAGAGAGAGAGAGACAGAGAGACAGAAAGCGAGAAATTACCCCTGGGGGGATGGTCACGCCGCAATCCCTTCTCCTCCATTCTCCTCTTGGGATCTTGGGCACGCACGCACGCGCGCCTGGCGTGAGTTTTAAGCCACCGGGTCCAAGACGCGAACCACAGTCGACTACGTGGGAGACCAGCGACATAGCCATTACACTAACTGCTGGTTCCCGAGGCTGGGACTTTTGACGGGGTCTTATCATGATCCTTCCACCCAGCCTTGCAGTCAGCCAGAACCACGGGCCTCTTGTGTGGCCCCCTGTGTGGCCCCCGCCACTGCACAGCAGTGCCCTCCACGAACGCCACATGGCTGGACAGCATTCTGATGTTTCGGTCAGGCCTTTCCACTTTGCTGCCTCTTTTAAACTAAAAGCAGAAAGCTTAGAGCTGTCAAACAAATGCCATCATTTTAACTACCACCATTTTATTAAAGGAGAAAACGTGGGGCTCATTGTTTTAGAAAATTAATGTAATCTGTCTGCTAGCATCATCGCTTACTAGAGTGTTTCCCTCCTCTTGTTAGTACACCGAAAGTTAGCAGCTTCGGACATGTGGTGAAATGTTGGCTTAAGAGCTGTCTGAACAGGCAGTCCCCACTGTTTTGATTTTGGCTGCAGAAAGTAGAACCCGCTGAAGTGATCGTTCTTGTGACGTGGCGCCACCTTCCATGATAAATACGTATACACAGGAAATATGCATTTTACCAGAAACCGTTAGTCAGCGTCCTGGACCGCGCCCAAGCTTTTGTTTTCTTTATAACAGAGTCTTTCACCTGAACGGAATCCTCGCTTTAGGTGTTAAAAGTAACTGAGCCAGTACTAGTCCAGCACCATAGCTGTCGAGCAAAGCCGTCCTGACGGGCCTGGACTTGTGCATGACTTGTGTTGCGTCTCACTAACCAACCTGCCCGCCCTCCCCCCAAATTGTCCCTGTTACATTCTGATAGCAGCCGAGAAGATAGGCTCACCTGAACCCTCTTTGACTGAATGGACTTTTCATTGTTTTTCTTAAATGCCTGCGCTTCAGAGGCTATCAACTGCTTAAATGCAGCCATCGACATTTACACAGACATGGTAAGACATTGCATTGCTTGAGTGGCTGTGGGGTGGAGTCCTTGAGATGGCTTAGAGTTGTATTTTTTTTTTTTCCTGTTCTCAAACTGTTGACATTCCAAGGTAAAGTAGATGTGTGATTCTGGTTTTGTTTCTTCCCCCAGGGGAGGTTTACGATCGCAGCCAAGCATCACATTACTATTGCTGAGATTTATGAGACTGAACTTGTAGACATCGAGAAGGTAAGCTGCGGGCCATTTTCTCGGAAACTTGATGGGAACCAGGTAGACAAGTTGGGCCTGGGAGCCCTCCCGCCTCCTGCCTGGTCCGAGTGGCAGAGCATGGTCATAACTGGCTTTCCTGGGTCTTTCAGGATGTGGCCAGCCGAGCAGATGGGCACGTCCCTGCAGTGAGTGTCTAAGGGGGGAATTTCCACATCACCTGCTCTTTGTCCTCTCTGGTTCATGTCACAGCATTAGTGTTACAGAATCTTCAGCCTTCTCTCTAAGGACTCTGAGGCCCTGGGAAGGAAGCTCAGGAGGTGAACTGTCTCCACACTCACTCAGCATCACGCCTGTAAGCGTCATGTCTCTGCACGTGACTCCCAAGTCTGTCTGTAGTCCATCTCTCTAAACTCCAGATTCCTATACCTCGCTGCTGCTGACTGCTCCACCTGGATCCAGCAGTCACAGTGCACCTGGCATGCCTGAGCCCGGGCTCTGCTCTCGGGCCCCCTCTTAAGCACCGCCATGTCCCTCTGAACTGCAGGCTTCCTGTGTCCTCTTTCTCCGCTTCCAGCCTGTGAGTAATTTCTATGGCTGCTGCCCTCACTGTCCCCAAAGCTCTCCTCTTTTCACCACCTGACTCTCCTCCAGCTTATGCTCGGTCACTGCAGCAGTCCCTACCTGCTCTCCCTGCTTCCCCCACTTCCCCATCGCCACCCCCAGCCTCATGTAACAGCACCCAGACGATGCCTGGAAGCAGCGGGGAGATTCTGTTTCTCCACTGCTTTCCTTCTCCTCAGAAGCTGCTAGAACTTGCTACTGGCTGTCATGGCCCTCTGCCTCTCCTGAGGTGTGCCCCTTGTGCTCCCGGGCCTCTCCTCCGGGCCTCTCCTCCGGCACTCCCTGCTCTAGCCACCCGGAGCTCTTGCCGCCTCTCACATGCTCCAGGTGAGCTCCCACCCAGGATGTCTGCACCAGCTGTTCTGTGTCAGCACAGCTCCTCCCCAGACATCCACGTGGCTAGCTCCTCACACTCTTCTGGTCCATGTGCCCGATCTGTGTCCTTCGGTGTTACCTTTTCTTTGAAGGCTGTCAAAAGCCACCTAGTTAAATTACAGCCTCGGCCCTCAGGACTCACACCTAGCCCTCCTTTTACACCTGCTCAGGGCCTTCTTTTCCTTTCCTTTCTTTCTCAGAGCCCGTGACGGCCATCGTAGCCCTCTCTGTGGTGTGCGTGCACGTCATTCCTGGGGTTCTCTCTCCCTCCCTGTGCCAGTGCGGGCATCCGTGTCAGTGAGAGCTTCCATCCGCTGCCAGTGTGTCCCCGGAGCCCAGAGCTCAGGCCACAGCCGGCTCCAAGCAAATGCTGGCCCCATAGACAAGCAGTGCCCCATCTGTGTAGCAGGTGGAGCCCGTCTCGGCTCCAGGCCGTGTTTTGAAGGCAGCACTGAAGCCGTGGTGGCCTTCTTAACACCCGCCCTCTGCCTTTGTGCTGAACAATCCGCTCTGGCTCTCACTGCTCCGCTTAGGATGTGTCTTTTCCCTGTAACTGTCATGCCTTCGTGAGGGTAGGCTCTCATCCCGATCACACGCTGAGCATTGACGTGTCTGTGCACTTTTCCTTTGGAGGTTACCTGAGGGTCCTGGAGGAAGATGGTGGAGCCAGGCCCTGAGCCCTTTCGTTCCCTGGTGTGGTGATGGGCTTGAAAGGAGCTGGGTTATTTGGTCAGGGTATGGTCAGTGTAAGTCTTGGGGACCACAGGCGTGGTGTGCAGAGCGCTGCCAGCAGAAGCTTCATCCTCTGGGGTGGGGCCCGAAGAGCGCTGGGAGGGGAAGGGACCGGCACACTGAGCCCCTGCTGCAGGGACACTCTCGGGCCACTTTACCACGTGGTCCTCCATAAAGCTGGGGAGATAAAACGATGGCCCACTCTTGTTCCCTCTTTCTTTCCCTTTCCTTTTTGTTTTTTTTTAATAAATGATCATTTGTCATGGCAGTTTCTGAAATCCCCATCACCTCATGGTGTTATTGCCGTTCTGTTCGTTGACCACTCAGTGCCACCGTCACTAAGCGATGAGTGCTTACAGCCAGTTCAGAGTATCACTGCACATGCACACAGGCTCAGCTCGTCAGCCTGATGTTTGGGCTCCTTCATTGTTCAGAAGATTCTCGCTCTCATGCCCCTGGTCGGATTGCGATCCATGGTGTGTGAAGTTCATGTTTGGAAAATCAGTTACACCAAGGATCTTATGTCTGTTTTCTCACAATGAGTTTATTTCTTTGTAATCCTCCCCAGTGTCTGTTCTGACACTGTCACAGATTTCAGCTAGTAGAGAGTACAAGAGAAGTTTTATACGCCCGCAGTGCTACTTTTACTCCATGCAGTAAAGCACTGAACCACATGATCAGTGTCTTAGGTGACCGTTTTTTTTTCCAGAGATTTTTTTTTTTGCTGGAGGATGTGTGCGCTTGTCGGAGAGATAGAGAGACAGAAAGCGAGAAATCACCCCCCAGGGGGATGGCCATGTTGTAGTCCCTTCTCCACTCTCCTCCTATGCTCTTGGGCACACACACACACGTACCTGTCATGAGTTTTAAGCCGCCGGGTCCAGGACTTAAACCCGGTCGACTGTGTGGGAGTCCAGGGACGTAACGATTGCACCATCTGCTGGTCCCTGAGGTGACCTTCCAGATGATCCACAGGGACTGTGACTTTCCTGTTTCCAGCCCCAGAAGAACCCGATGCAGTAGTTTGTTGCAGCACAGACGTGTATGGCAGTTCACATAGGGTCCTGTTGGGCTAAGCAATGATCCTGTTCAAAGGCAACGTCTTTAAGACATTATACTGAAAGGACTACCATATTTTATAGACAAGATCACTGTCTCCACAGGTTTTTTAAAAATGAAAAAAATCTATATAGCTACATTAATAAAAGCACTTATTTTGTACAATACGATGATAATGACCTTGAATTTTCTTTTTAAAAAATTACAATAAGCTACAAGGATCAAAGAAGCAAAGTTATTGTGACCAGCAGTTAGCGTAATGGCTGTGTCGCTGGACTCCCATGTAGTCAACCGTGGTTCGAGTCCCGAACCCGGTGACTTAAACTCATGCCAGGCGCGTGTGCGTGCGTGCCCAAGATCCCGAGAGGAGAGTGGAGGAGACGGAATTGCGGCATGGCCATCCCCCCTAGAGGGTGATTTCTCACTTTCCGTCTCTCTGTCTCTCTCTCTGTCTGGCAAGCGTACGTGCCCTATAGCAAAAGCCTCTCCAAAAAAAATTTTTTTTTTTAAATTGTTTTAGTTTCCATTTCAATAAGACCAATAAGGGAGAAAACTATATATTTTTTACTGTTATCAATGTCACTGTAGTTTAGTGGAGGAAGTCTTTCCTGATGACCTAATAATTGTAATGTTGTGATAACCAGATTGTCAACATTTATCTAATTTTTTCCTCTCCACAACAAGTGGTTACTTAATGATTCAGCCCAGCTCTTTATTCACTGAGTTCTGGTAAGAAGCAGGAAGATAAGTAGTTACACTCTCCCTGAGAAGAGATGGTACAGTCCAGTACTCCTCACAGAGAGATGTGGTCATGTCTCTCGCGCCTTACCCGTTTAGGACACATGACGGGGTAATGGGAAAGGGTGCTGAAGCGTCAGAGAACAAGGGCAGTGAAAGGCCTGTTTTGGGGGCCAGCTCTGACAGTGGCCATGCGCTTCTCAGAAGCGGGTTCCACATAGCACCCTCGGCTCACATCCCTGGCCTGGTCCGCCTGCACCTCACTGGTCGTGCTCGGGGTGCCCAGATCTGATGCGCTGCAGGACCGAGGAAGGGTCACAGGGTGACCAGACCCTGTGGAGAGTACTCATCTCTCTCTGTGCCTCACATGTTCTCACAATGCTTAGTCATGAATAAAGAAAAACAGTTTTCTAAGTTGTAAACAATAAATAAGTAAATAAATAGATTAAGATTATTTTTGGTTAATCATAAATTTACCGAAGATCTTGTGTTTCTAGGCACTATAAATGAATCAAGATATTGGTACTAGTTTAATAGAGGACCTTCGTTTGCAATGCAGTTTGCACCCATTCCCTGAGCACCTACCGTGTGATAGTTCACGTACTGGGCTCAAGGACATCACAGTGGACAGAACAGTCACAGACTTGCCCTCACAGAGCTCACATCTTAGTGGCAGGAGATGTACACTCATTGGTAATCCCACCCGTGTGTGTCTGTAACAGCTCTGAGAAGCGTTGTCCCAAAGAATGTATTCTCCCAGATGCTTTCAGTATGTGATGCATATTTGCAGAAACCACACCATAGTGTGCCTTCTTTTATAACTACATTATTTATTTATTTATTCTTTTGGAGAGGTTTTTGCTATAGGGCACGTGTGCTCGCCAGAAAGACAGAGAGATAGAAAGTGAGAAATAACCCCCCAAGGGGGATGGCCACGCCGCAATCCCTTCTCTTCCATTCTCCTCTTGGGATCTTGGGCACGCACGTACATGCACCCGGTGTGCCACCGGGTCCGGGACTCTAACCACAGTTGACTACATGGGAGTTAAGTGACATAGCCATTATGCTAACTACTGGTCCTAATATAACTACATTTTTAAATTTAATAGTTCATTATGAGCTTTTCATATTAGTATTTTCCATCTATCACCTTAAATTATAGCACAGTAGTAGCACATTATTTTGGGTCATCGGAAAAGTCATGACACATTTTTGCATAGAAAAACACGTCATGACTTTTCCAATGATCTGGTAATGATTTTTTTTTTTTAAGAAACATTTTATTTAACTTTTATTTATTTTAATTTCACCAGAGAGGGAGGGATGGAAGATACAGAGAGAGAAAGAGAGAGAAAGCAAGTGGCCAGGTCCAGGACTTGAATTGCAGTCGACCATGTGGGAGTCCAGCACCGTTAACCACCACACCACCTGCCATCCCCACCAATGACCCAGTGTTTAACCACTTAAATTGTTTTCAGTTTTTTTGCTATTGTAAATAACAGTGAGAATATATGTTTATTTGAGGAGCGTCCTAGTTGAGGCTTAAACATTAGACCCAAAACATACTCAAATACAGTACAAGTGTGTGTCTGTTTTTCACAAAACTATTCAAGGGGAACATTTTAGGTGCTCTGTGGGCCATAGACGAGGGCAGCATTGGCTCTGCTGCCTTTGTCCCATGGCTTCGGAAGTGGATCTGCTGTGCTTATCATTGCTGCTATGGCCTGCAGGAAGGCAGTGTCAGGGGGCTTCATTGGCTAGGTCTGCATGCTTCCGGCCAGTTCTCCTCCCCTGTTTGGCTTTTTATTGGTGTTTCATACCTCTGTCTGCCACTTAACTCTTAGAAGCTGTCTTGAATTCACTGAATAACAGGTTTGGGTGGGAAGGCAGCACCTTTCATTTGACTTTTGCACAGTGCCAGATCCCTCTTTGGGAGAACCCTTTGAAATTTAAATCAGGGCCTACGAACCCACTGTCTGTTTCTATGTGCCTGCAAGCTAAAAATGGTTTTTGCTATTTTTAATCATGGGGGGGCCATGTCATGACACATAAAAATCATGTGAACTGGGCATTTCATTGTCCATGATTTTATTGGAGCAATTATTTAGGTATTACTTGACTGCTATCATGCTGCCATGGGACAACTGACTGTTTGCAACAGAGATTGTTCGGCTCACAGAACCAAAATACTTACTCTTCCACCTGTTACAGTAAAAGTTCGTCTCAGTCTGGGTTTGAAGCATTATCCAGGCTTCTCTCCTGCCATTTGAGGAAAGCCCTTGGCTCATCCAGTCTATGAAGCCCTTACCTGGGGGCTTCGTTTTCTTTCATAATGGCCTGTAAGTGAGTTATTTTTTTCCTGAGTTTTCTCTCAAAAAAACTTTGCTGAAAACAGCAATACTCACTCTCCTTTGGTCTTCTCAGCTACGTTCTCGTAGTTTTAGACACAAATAGACAGGTGTTTCACCTTTCAAGTTGTCACATGCTTGATTTCACTAAACCTTCTGCCACAGCAGGACAGGGCTTCGCACTTACAGCCAGAAACCTGTTTCCTCCCCCGTGGACTGTTAGTTGGGTGCTACACGTTTTAGATAGTAGACATCACCTTGCTGCTGTCTTACTTATTTATTTTTTAAAAATACTCTTTTATTCTAATTTATTTATTTTTATATTTTCACACATTTACATATCAGAAAAGTTTTGCTTAAACTCCATAGTTCTTGACAGTTAATAAACAACTTCCAAAATTTAAAAAACCCTGAATTTTAAAGGTAATGTTCAAAATATTTGTTATAATTTTGTTTGTGACTGTAATAGAGACAGTATGGTTTTAAGTATTTTCGAGAAAATATTTACATGTCAGCTACTCAGACTGTTAAGTCACATATAAACCTTCTCAATTCAGCCCTGCCTACCAAAGTATTCTGTGATATACCCTCTGCTAGCAAAGATCAGTCTCTTTTTCTTCCTTCAGAGTCTTTCTTAAAATAATCCTCTGGTTGTAGTTGCTCTTTTGCAATTTCTACTGATTATAGTGCTGGGCTGGAAAAGTCCAGGTTATTTTATGGTATGAATTATTTCACATGGCTTCTCTAATCCTCTCTGCCAAGTAGAACTGTTCATGGTGCCAGGCCATCTTTCAAAGGGCTTCTGTTGGCTTACTTGAAATCTACCTCAGTTCCATAGTTTTCTGGTTTAATCTTCAGATATGACCAGTCAAAACTCTGTCCAATAACGAGTATTTCCAATTTCTGATTCAAGACAACAGGTATTATTGAACTTAGTAAATAACTGTTCTGCCACAAAATAAGAATACTCCCAAATATTTTCTAATTCCAGAGGGGTCAGGGAGAAAAGTTTGTTTCCATTTAAAGAAACAAACAAGAAGAAAAAACATTTTAACAAATTGCTAAACCTATCAACAGGTCAAAAGAAAGCAAAACCCTTAAATTGGGAAAACAAAACATAGTAAAGAAAAAGACAGTAATGTTTTACTCAGAAGTCATAAAATTCTATTTCACCAGTTCAGTCTTATGTAATTAATCTTTTCCTGTTGAATTTGCAGTGTTACTGTGGTCCAATCTTTCTGTTTAAATACTAGAAGTTAACATTCAACGTTATTATTAGTATTTCTTGTCCCTAGCATTAAGTTGGTCATTTTCTTGGTTGCTTTTTGTTCGCTTATTTCTGTATGTGTGTCTTTAGCTTTCCTGGTAAAGCACTCCTTTCAGAACTTCCTGAAGAGCTGGTCTGGTGCTGGTAAATTCTTTCAGCTCTTGTTTATCTGAGAATGTTTTTATCTTTTCTTCCCATATGAAGGATAATCTTGCCGGGTATAGTATTCTTGGTTGAAACTGTTTCTCACTTAACGCTTTGAATATTTTTTCCCATTCTTTCCCTGCTCACATTGTTTCTGATGAGAGGTCTGATGTTAGTGTGATGGGATAACCTTTATAAGTTACCCGACATTTCTCTCTTGCCAATTTTAGAATCTTGTCTTTGTGGATTTGGCCAATCTGGCTAGGATGTGCCTTGGAGAAGATCTTCTTGGGTTGATTCTATTAAGGGTCGTTTGTATTTCTTGGGTCTGGATATTCGAATGCCTCTCTAGATTTGGAGTTTCCTTCTAGGATTTCATGGAATAGATCATCAATGCCCTTATTAGTTTCTTCACCTTCTGGGATACCAATTATCCAGATGTTTGAACACTTAATGGTATCTAGTATTTCTCATATAGTATTCTCATTTTTTCTGGCTATTTTTTCCTTTTTTTTTTTGCTTGTTTTTTAGGTCAGAGGTTTTGCCTACAACATCCAAGATTCAGTCTTCTGCATGGACTAATCTGTTTTTTAATACTTTTGAGGGAGATTTTGATTTCCTATATTGCAGCCCAGCCTTCATTTCTAATAGCTCCAGTTGGCTCTTTATGGTGTGTATTTCCTCCTTCAGATAGTGTGAGAACTTCCTCACCTCCTGGAACTCTTTGTCTCTTTTCCTCCTACATCTTCTGGAGTTCATTGTCTCTCAGCTCTTGCATCTCGTTTAGTTTTGTCTCTATGAATATTCTGAACTCTATCAGATATTTCCACGAGTTCCACTGTACTGTCTGTGAATGATGAACCTTATTCTTCTCACTGAGGGGAGAGATACTTTCTTGGTTTCTCTTATTTCTTGTGCTTCTATGGTAGTTCCTGGTCACTCTGTGACAAAGTCTCTCCTCTACTTGTCTGAGTGTTTCAGGGGTCTAGCAGATGAGGTTTAGAGCGTAACTTTAGTCGCCTTGGTCCCTGAATGCACCAGGACTCACCTCAGATTTAAAGTCTGTTTTGTTTTATTTTTAATTACCAAAGGGCATGTGCGCTCTCCAGAGAGACACGTAGAAAGAGAAAGCACCCCCAATTTGGCGTGGTTGTGCCACGGTCCCTTCTCTGTGTCTACATCCTGTTGGGATTTTGAACATGCATGCACTTATTCCCAGTGTGGTCCAGGATTTGAACCACAATCGGCCCCTGTGGAATACTAACCAGGAGGCTGGGGTGGGGGGGGAGGCTGGCCTGTCACTCTTATTCTAGACACTTAAGGTATAATTAGTGAGGATAGTCTGTGCTACTGTAGCACCCAAAGGACTTCATATCTCAAGGAACGATCCCAGGTAGGTGTTGTGGGTTTGGCGGTGATAGAGTTCCTGGACCTGGGGTGCATTCTGCCCTTTGTGGTGATGTAGGAGCCAAGCTGACAGCTCTAACGATCTGCAGTCTGTGGCTTCTAATGTCGCTTAGGGCTTGGTCATTGCTATTCTAGCTAATGGGAAGTGGAAGAGGCCTAGAGAAGGGAGCAAAGTAATAGGAACCCACTTGTGTGTTCACATTCCATCGGAGAGAATTAGCCTTGGGGCTCCCTCCCTTCCCAGTGGAAGCTGGGTCAGTGGGGCGGCTGAGTGTTCACCATGGGAGAGAGGATGGGTTTTGAGGGACAGGAAGCGTTCCACCACCGGGGAACTCCTGGAGTGCTGGCTTCTCGAGTTCTCTAATAGGCTGAGATATGGAAGGTTTGCTACTAAGGTAGGCTTACTTATAGGAAATACCTGTGCAGATGTAGTTTTTAAATGCACATCTTCAAATGAGTCTATAAATAAAATGTGTGTATGTGTTTTCAGGCTATTGCACATTATGAGCAATCTGCTGATTATTACAAAGGAGAAGAATCTAACAGGCAAGTATTGCTGTTTTTCCTGTAATGAAATGGGTCTCGTGTGATAACAGACAAATCTTTATAGTCTCATGAGTGTATTCGGCTGAGAGGAAGGTGTACTGGGCCATGTGCACGTCTCTTACGTCCCACTGGATTGTTGCTTACCCTGCTCTGGTTCTTGGTTTCAGCTCAGCTAACAAGTGTCTGCTGAAAGTTTATGTCCCACTGGATTGTTGCTTACCCTGCTCTGGTTCTTGGTTTCAGCTCAGCTAACAAGTGTCTGCTGAAGGTGGCGGCGTATGCAGCCCAGCTTGAGCAGTACCAGAAAGCCATCGAGATCTACGAGCAGGTAGGATGTTGTCTCCTTGAACAGAAGTCGTCAAATCATTCTTTGTATTACACTTTAACTTTTACTTTTTATTGAGACACAATTCACAGGTCATGTTATTTTATCTTTTTAACACATATAATTTAGTACTTTTTAGTATATTGCAAACTTGTATCATCACCACCACCTCATTCCAGAATGTTTTCATCACCCCAGAAGAAGCACATTCCTTCTCCTCCCAGTTCTAGAAAACATACCTACTTTGAATCTCTGTTTTTGCCTATTCTGGACCTTTGAGATACTTGGAATCAATACAGTGTGGGGCCTTGTGTGACTGGTGTGTTTCACTTGGTTGTATTGTTTTCAAGGCCCATCCATGTTGTGAGTGTATCAATACTTCATTGCCAAGTAATACTCCAGCTTGTTTGCCCATTCATCAATTGATGGGTTAGATTGTTTCCATTTGGGGTTCTATTGAGGAAACTCCTTTTTCTTCCTAGTTGAGTATTTTTATCATCCAAAGGTTTTAGACTTTGAATGTCTTTTCTGAGTCTGTTGAGGTGAGCTTATGATTTTTGACCTTATTGCATTAAGATGGTGTTTATGTTGATTTTCACTTGATGGACTGCCTTTACATTTTTGAGATAAATTCTTTTTGGTCATGGCAAAGTCTGAGGTCCCCTAAAACACCGTCAGATTCCTTAATTTGCACAGCTTGTTTATGTTCACAGTTAGGGTTTATTTTTTATTTATTTTTTTCTGTAATTGAGATTTACTGGTTGTGTTGAGGATCAGTACAGACATTAATTTGTACACAGTTCTTAACATCATACCAAAAATTTTAAAAAGCAAATACAATGATTCTTTTTAAGTTATTCCAGTGACATTCCAGCTTCAAATTTGTAGGCAAATTTTCCTTAAGAGAATATTAAGAACCACTGTCTTCAAATATTGAAAGCTGTTATGTAAGTCCTACCAAATCACAATTTAGTATCATACACACTACATACTTCAAATTTCCAATCTTTCATAACACATTAAAAAAATTATCAGGAAAACTGGACCACCACGACCAAAGATGTTACAGAGTGCACACAATTCTGACAGGGAGAGCAACAGTCAAAGAGTGGCTTTCTTTAGGAAATAATACTACTAAAAAAACATGATAGAAGTAATTTAAAATATTCAGCACATGTTAAATGCATGACTGTGACTCCAAACTGCCATTTAGTATGTTTTATATTTAGGATATAAAACTACCCACCTGCCCCTACCTATGTAATGTCAAAGCCTCCTATATGTCAATATCCCACTATTTTCTGGTTGTACTAAAAAATAAACAACCCGTAAATGATTTCACCTTTTAAAAAAGCATTTACACTTAAAAAATGGGATGAGGTGGGATTCTCTCCTTCTTAAAAATATCTCTAGAGCTACTAAAAAACTTGTGTTTACAAAATAGTTACTAAAAATACTCCTCTGGATTATACAAGAAGGGAGCCAGGAACCACTGACAAGACATGGTATGTGACATTGCTCAGGCTTGACTTCTTTCTCGCCTACTTCATCAGAGGGTGAACTCTCCTCATTTTTAGTTTCTTCACTTTCTGCACTAAATCTTCTTTAGTGTCTTGGTTGGCCACTAACAGGTCAGCCTGTTTCCCCTTTGCTCTGCTTTTCCCTTTTGTTTGCACTCTTTTGTCTGAAGATTCTTCCTGCCCTGCTGCCTTTTTTGGCTCTGTCTCCACTTTTGCAGGAGCAGGTTTAGCCGACAACCTCGCCGATCTCCTCTTGGCCTCTTCCTTGGCCCACCCCCCTTGGCGGAGCTGACCTTCTTCCTGGGCATCTTGGCTGCGAACAGGGTGCGTGCTGGGAGCCTGAGAGGCCACGGAGTGCCTAGAGCCTTTGCGGAGTTGAGTGGATAAACCCTCCCGCTGCCCGAGCTGCTGGAACCCCTTAGGGTTTATTTCACCGAAAGGATGCAGATGAAAATTGTACACAGAGAGGCGCCGCCCGAGCTGCTGGAACCCCTTAGGGTTTATTTCACCGAAAGGATGCAGATGAAAATTGTACACAGAGAGGCTCACAGTTCTAATTATGAAGCTTCCAGTTGTCCTTACCCAGTGGAGTTGCATAGACCACACTTTTTTCCTCCCAGCAGCGGTGTGTGAAAATACACACAGGTGTTTGCTAACCAGCGAAGCCTACCCGAACTTGGTATCCTGACTTCTTCATGGGGCTTAGCCACATAGCTATGGTTGCCTTCTTGGCTGACCTTATTCTCCACTCCTCCATTGATCAAGTTGAACAACATTACCCAAGGGCCCTGGGTAAACTGAAGTGCTCCCTTAGGACGTAGAGACCACCCCAGGAGCCATGTGCAAAAGCCAGACCTCTTTGGGTGAGATTAATGCTTTACTGCATAGCCATGATGTATAACTTTTTCTCAGGTTGCCAGTGTTGTTTTGCTAATCCTTCGTTGAGGTTTTTCTGTCTGTTCATAAGGGATATAGACCTTTAGCTTTTCCTTCCCTCATAATACCTGGTTTTTGTTTTTGTTTTTGTTTTTGGTTTTTTTTTTGTTTTTTTTTTGTTTTTTTTTGGGGGGGGGAGATTTTCACTGTAGGGCGCGTGCGCTCGCCAGACAGAGAGAGACATAGAGACAGAAAGCGAGAAATCACCCCCCAGGGGGGATGGTCACGCCGCAATCCCTTCTCCTCCATTCTCCTCTTGGGATCTTGGGCACGCACGCACACGCGCCCGGCGTGAGTTTTAAGCCACTGGGTCCGGGACACGAACCGCGGTTGACTACGTGGGAATCCAGCGACATAGCCATTACGCTAACTGCTGGTTCCCATGATACCTGGTTTTGATATCAGAGGAATTCTAGCCTCAGAGTGAGTTAGAAGTGTTCTCTCCTACTCTGTTTTTTGGAAAAGTTTGTAAAGGACTGGTGTTAATTCTTTAAAGGTTTGGTAGAATTTGGTGGGTTTTGTCTATTATTTGTTTTTGCTTTCATTGATTTCTGTTTCTTTTCTATTTCTTCCTTTCTGTGTTCCTTGAATTTATTTTGCTCTTTTTTTGGGGGGGAGGGAGGTACTTGAGGTGGAAACTTTGGCTGTTGATTTTTCTCTGTTGTGTATGTCTTTTTAGTGTCATCAGTTACCTCTTGGCATTGCTTTGACTATGTTGCAATTCTGTTTTTATTTCAGTTCGTTGTATTCAGTGATTTCCCTGGAGACTTCATTGACCTATGGATTGTTTAGAAGTCTTGCTTAGTTTCCAAGTGCTTAAAGATTTTTCTGTAATTGTTCTGTTGATTTCTAGTTTGATTTCATTATGGTTAGAGAGTTGTTCTAGGTTGATAGCTCTCGTAGTTTGGAGTTTGAAAACTCGCAGTTTGTCTCTGTAGTTTCTGATGAGAAGTCTGCTGTCATTCATTCATTGTTTTTCACCTGTAGTAAGGTTTTTTTTTTTTTTTTTAAGGTTTTGTTTTGTTTTTTTTCTGGATGCTTTTGAAATTTTTCCTTTGTTTTCAGTGTTCATAAATCTTACTTAAAATGTGCCTTAGAATAGCTATCTTTGGTTTTATCCTCTTAGGTTTTACTAAACTTTTCAAATTTTTTTTAACCAAATCTGAGACATTTTAAGCAATTATTCCAAGTGCTTTCCCTTCTCTTCCTTCTGTTTCCAGGACTCAGATGACATGAAAATTGGGCCTTATTGTATACTCATCCATGGTGTTCTTTTTTCTTTTCTTCTCTTTTCTTCCTTTTCTTCTTCGTCCTTCAATCTGTCCTCTCTTGTTTAGACTCAGTATTTTCTGTTGTTCTGTCATTCAGTTCATTGATTTTATTTTAAAGAATTATTCATTTTATTTCTTCTTCTTCTTCTTTTCTTCTTTTCTTCTTCTTCTTTTCTTCTTTTCTTCTTCTTCTTTTCTTCTTTTTTTCTTTTCTTCTTCTTCTTCAATTTGATCAGAGAGAGCCAGGGGAGAGGGGTGAGAAAGCAAGCCACCAGATCCAGGACTCAAACCACAGTTGACTATGTGAAACCCAGTACCTTAACACATCACACCACCTGCCGGCCCCAGTTCATTCTTTCCTCTGTTCCATCTTGCCTCTGTTGAGTCCATCTACTTTTTATGTATGTTATTGTTATTTAGTTCTGTAATTTTCATTTGGGTCTTTACATATCCTGGCTTTTCCCCTGTAAATATTTTTTCTTTGTTGATGCTGGGTTTTTTGTTTGTTTGTTTGTTTTGTTTGTTTTTCTTGTTTTTTTTTAATTAGTTTCAAGAGTTTTTGTAATTACTTAGTGAAGGATTTTTAGAAGGGCTCCTTTAAAATCTTTGTTAGATAATGCTAGCATTTCCATCATCTGGGAATTATCATCTACTAATTGTTGTTTTCCATTCATTTTGACATTTTCCTGTATTTTCAGCATTACAGTGATTTTTGATTGAAAGCAGCATTTTCACATTAGGTTAGAAGAATGAATTTTTTTTTTTAATTTTCAAATCTGTTTTGTTTTTATTGGACTGAATGTTTTTAGTTCAGGTATTACCTTTTTTGGCCAACTGTTTAATGCCTGATACAGCTATAAACATAACTCAGAAGTAAGATTATTCCATGCAAAATCACCATAAGACAAAGATGAATCAAAAAGCTATTTCTCAGAGCCCCAGTGTATTACCAATGTCTGAATTCACATCCTCAAACAGGAACACACCTGGAGTTTGCAGAGACCCTCCAAGGAGGTGCAAGGTTCAAAGCTTGTCATCGTGGCAATCCCTGCAGTTGTAGGTTTTCACCCACACCTGGTGAGAATGGTCCCCTCTGCCTGTGACCATGTGGGACGTGGTGCTGCTGTCCCCCTGTGTCAGCATCTCTCCTCTTTCTCAGCACCAGGGGCCAGGGATGCAGGGGGTGTACCAGGAGCTATGGGGGTCACCATAGCTCCAGCCGTCCATTCAGCTACCTGCCCTCCCAGCCCAGACCTAAGGGCCTCCTCACTGGCTCTTACTTAAACATTCTCTTTCCATTGGCCTTTGACATTGCCATGTTGGGGAAGGTGAAGATGTCAAGTCATCCCTGCCAGGTGGAGGTGGAAGTCCAGACTCCCTGCTAGGCTTCCATACACCCATGAGGGGCTCTGAGGTGGGCGTCCCTACCACTTACTTGGTTTCCACCAACACTGTGCTGGGGTTATCCTTATTCCTGTTTGGTGGTGATGAAAGTCTTCACTGCCCACTAGAGCTGTTCTGATAATACATTGGGGATGGAGGAGCACCTCGTTCTGCTGGATGGGTGGGAGTCCATGCTCCTTGTGTGGTGGTCCCCATGGCCTCAGTGGTGGGCTGTGGCTGGGGATGAAGTCTCTGCTCTCTGGCCTTCTCTGGTTGGGCTCCTCTTCACAGTCTTATAAGAATGGACATGTTGGTTCCCTCTTCAACCTTTGACAGCAGAAGTGGGAGTGGGGCCATGGTTTTCCTGTGGTGTTTGGCTGGAGTGGAACAGTTACTGTCTCAAGGTTTTCCCTCTCGCTGTGCTATACCTTGACTAGAGGAGGCAAGTTTTGTCTGTTTTCTTTTTTAATTACTGCCATTTCTGGGTAGTGGGTTCTGCAGTTCCACATCAGAGATACAGGAAGGAAAAAGCAAAGCCATGGAACAGATGGATGACTATGTTTCCCCTTGGGCCTCAAGTCCTTAGTTGGTCTGCCCTCTAATGTCTACCTTCACAGGTGTTTATGTTATGTAAAATGGCCTGAGCTGTTATATTTGTTTAGCAGGAAGAACAGGGGAAAGAAAGTGTACTCCATCTTTCTGGAAGCAGAAGTCTTCTAAGTCATTTTTAACAGACTAACTCAGTGTGTTTAATATTGTTTCTGGTCTAGTAAAACTTTCTGCAGTGTGGTGTTGGGTTAGAGAGGGCATCAAGTGGCCTGACAGCATAGTGGCAAAGTGCAGTACTTTGTTAGGCCGACCCACGTGCGAATGAATGTTCGCGCTCATGTCCAGAGATCTCCCTGAGTGCCCTGGGTCCATGTGTGCCCACACACTAGGGCTGGTGAAAGCTAGTGATGGATCATGGTGTCAGGACCCTTTTGGGGGTGCTCTTTGCCTCTTTCTCTTTGTGACTCTCGCTCATGGAAGAAGTAATTTTTATTATTATTTTTTTTTTACAAAAGAATGTATTTATTAGCTAAACTAATGTAAAATACGTAAGTATTCCTGGAAGACAACAGATGAGAATAATTTTGGCTGATAGAAGAAGGTAAACCTTTTAACTTTAAGTCTGCTTTTTGTGCCTAGGTTGGGGCAAACACTATGGATAACCCTCTGTTGAAGTACAGTGCAAAGGACTACTTCTTTAAAGCAGCCCTCTGTCACTTCATAGTGGATGAGTTAAATGCCAAGGTAAGAAGTCCTTTGGTGCTGTTTTTCTGATATGCAGTAACTCATGAGAACAGATGTCACATACAGTGCTCTGCCTTTTAGTTTTTGCCAGAGAGAGACAGAGAGAAGGAAAGTTAGAAATCACCACCCAGTGAGGATGGCCATGCCGTGGTCCCTTCTCCATTCTCCTCTTGGGGTTTTGGGCACGCACACACTTGTCCAATCTGAGTTTCAAGCCACTGGGTCAGAGACTCAGACTGCAGTTGACCATGTGGGAGCCCAGTGTCTCAACCACCACGTCCCTCTCTGGCCCACTCTGTCATTCTTGATGCCATTTTGCTTCGGTGTTGGTAGCAAGACTAAACCAGATGCATTATAGATAACGATAGCAATTGTGCATCTGGGTCTTGGCTGCCAGAGCTGTTCCCTCAGAGCTCCCTGGTAGCCCATTTCCTTCAGTAGTTACGCTCTAAAGAAATTGGGGAAAACAATAAATGTAGAAGACACCCTTTAAAGAAAAAGCAAAAATAGAAGATAAGCAGCAAAGACCCAGATGGCCTTGATGTTGGTCAGTGCCTGGAGTTGGAAGACCAGAATTAAAACCCCTAAGAGAATAAGTGTGCTTTCCTCCAGCCTTGAGCAGTGTTTGAAGTGGGTCTTACCTGGAATCCAGACCATGTTCTTCATTAATTTGATGAATGAACCCAGACATTGATCTGTGAGTTTTTCAGAACTAAACTTTGTTCCCAGTATTTTCTCTGCAGCACTCCTAACAAAGAAAAATTGATTTAAAATTTTATTCGTTTTTTAATTTTTTTTTGAGAGGTTTTTGCTATAGGGTGCATGCCCTCATCAGAAAGACAGAGACAGAGAGATAGAAAGTGAGAAACCACCCCCCGGGGGGATGGCCACGCCACAATCCCTTCTCCTCCATTCTCCTCTTGGGATCTTGGGCACACGCATACATGTGCCCGGCATGAGTTTAAGCCACCGGGTCCAGGACTTAAACCACAGTCAACTACATGGGAGTCCAGAGACATAGCCATTACACCAACTGCTGTTCCCTAAAAATTTATTCTTAATTGAAATAGAAAATTCAAAATAAATAGGTTTCCTTTGTTGATTCTGCTGTTAAGTTTAGCAACATACTCCTTTTTCTTTTTAAAGAATTGTTTATTACATTTTATTTATTATAATAATAATTATTTATTTTAACCAAAGAGAGAAAGAGAAAGGGAAAGTGAGAAAGCAAACAGCCAGATCCAGGACCCAAATCTCAGTCAGCTATGTGGGAGTCCAGCGCCTTGTCCACCACACCACCTGCCGGCCCCTGCAGCATAATTTTTAAATACTTAAATATGATGTAGACAAATATTATCACAGTTAACAGAATGTTGAAAGATTTGTTTCTTGGTAAGTCTGACATTGACGAGTGGCTTTTCTCTCCCAGCTTGCTCTTGAGAAATATGAGGAAATGTTTCCTGCGTTTACTGATTCAAGAGAATGTAAATTATTGAAAGTAAGTAATGTTAGAACTTTGAAGAAAGTAGCCTTTCCATCAGATGACAGCAGCTAGATGGGATTGGGTATGAAGTGAGAGTTTAATCTGTAAAGTCTGCTTTCTGGTTCTTCATTTTAAGTATTGAGATGTCATTAGGGACAGGGACTCAGGCAAGTCAGAAATACTCGTACAAAAGCTTCCCTGACTTGAAATAATTCTTGACTTACCTTATTTTGCATAGTCCCAAAATTTCGGGAGAAATTTGGCAACAAGAGTTACTGTGTCATTAAGGCTATTTCTATATTTAAAGTATTCATTCAGAAGTGGACTTTTTTTTTTGTATTATTGAGCTAATTTATTCTTGTATTTATCCTGCCAGAAACTTCTAGAAGCTCATGAAGAACAGAATAGTGAAGCTTATACTGAAGCTGTAAGTTACTCCTTTGAGATCTAGTATTTTTATTTTTATTTTTTTAATAGAGACTTTTGCTATGAGAGAAGGCAAGAAATCATCCTCCGGGGGGATGGCCATGCCCAATCCCTTCTCCTCCAGGGGTCTTCACATTTACGCATATACGCCTCGTGTGTTTTAAACCACCAGGTCCGAGACTTGAACCGCGGTCACCTATGTGGGAGTCCAACTATATTAACAATTGTATCATCTGCTGGTCCCAGGGATATAGTATAATTTTAAACGATTTAAATTACAGAACTTTTTTTGCTTTTCTTTGTATGACTTCTGAACATTTATTTGAACGTTATTCTAGCATACATAAACTGTGTTTTCTAGAGGTTATGTTTTATATATATCTCACAAATTAGTTCCTTTAGGCATCCTCAGATTGCATTTGTATTCAGAACTGTTTCTTAGCTTCTCCAAAAATAACTGTGAGACTAGTTCAAGAGCACATCGTCACATACTGTAGTAATCTGCTGGATTTTTTTTTTCTGTTTTTGTTTTTTAATTTGCCAAAGGGTGCATGCTAGAGGTAGACAGAAAGAGAGGGAAAGTGAGAAAGCATCCTCCTCCTTCCTCATGGGGAGTGGTCACGCTGCAATCCCTTCTCCTGCTTTCAGGGTTTAGGGTGGGCAGGGACGCATACCTGGAATGTTTTTAAAGCCACTGGATCTGGGACTCAAACTGTACAGTCCGTTGTGTGGGATCCAGCCTTAACCACCTTGCTACAGGCCCTAATCTGCTGTGTTAAATGTCACCTTTTGAAAATAATCTGACCCATAAACAGTTTAAAATATAAAAAAATAGTGGGAGTTTGCTAGATTTGTGGCTTCTAGGACCACTGTGTTTTTCAAGCCTCCAAGGCCAGGATTCGAACCATGTGGTCAGCCGTGTGGTATCGGTTCTCTCAACCACTAGACCCTGAGGCCAGCTCTCACTATAAATTTGTCTTTTTAAGTTTTTTTTTTTTTTTGAAGAGGTTTTTGCTATAGGATTTTGCATGTGCTCACCAGAAAGAGAAAGAAAGTGAGAAATCACCCCCCGGGGGGTGGGGAGATGGCAATCCCTTCTCCTCCATTCTCCTCTCGGGATCTTGGGCACACACGCATACGCACCCAGCGTGAATTTAAGCCAGTAGGTCCAGGACTCGAACCATGGTCCACTACATGGAAGCCCAGTGACATAGCCATTACGTCAACTGCTGGTCCCAAGAATTATTTATTTATGTAATTAATTCCATTTGTTATTCTTATTTTTTAATTTGACCAGAGAGAGACAGACAGAGAAAGGGAAAGCGAGGAAGCAAGCCACGTTCAGGACTTGAACTGCGGTAGGCCACCATGTGGGAATCCAGCACCTTTAACCACAGCGCCACCCGCCGGCCCCACTGTAAATGTTTAAGCAGCTTGGGACACTACTGTTTGGTGTTTCTAATGTATTTCCATAGAATAATTCCTGTCTCTCTTTCCTTAAACTAGGTGAAAGAGTTTGACTCCATATCCCGCTTGGATCAGTGGCTGACCACCATGCTGCTTCGTATCAAAAAGTCCATCCAGGGGGATGGAGAAGGAGACGGAGACCTGAAATGAAACATTTCTGTCTTTGTAGCATGCAGCTAACCCCACTTTAGTTTTGTCTTAGGGCCAAGTGATCTTTCTGGGATGCCCATTTAAATGGCTTAATTTTGTTGCAAACGAGCAAATGATTGTGTGTTGTTCAAGCTCACCACGTTTCTGTGACTGTGGAGAAGTATGGGAGGCCACTGTGCATCTTGTGGTTAGGGTGGATGGACTAGACTATTTCCTGCTTATCAGAATCCCGAGAGTTTTCTCAGTCAAACTTCGGAATCTCATTCCTATTATTTTGATATTCATGGAGCCCATGTTTAATGTCGCTACATTTTTATGCCCTTTTTCTTGGACATGGGTATTTAGCCCAGTTGTTCTAGTAGATGATTTGCGTATTCTGTGTACATTTGCATTTGGGTATTTTCTTTATACATGTGTGCTTAGTTTAGGATACTTTTTAGAGATGAGTTTATACCTTGCTTAGAATTTTTTTATATTTCGTTATCCTGTGATTACGCTAATGGTGCTAGTGATAAGTTCTTTTGCTTTTGTGTTATGTCGTACGCTAACCTGTGCATGGCGGGAGTTCAGACAGCCAGGTCTGTCAGCATCATTTATGTGAGAAGCAGCTCCTGGGAGTAATTGCTTTAGGTGTGGATAAATGTCAAGATGGATTTGATCGATTTTTGCTTTTACATACACACAGATATGTCTAAGAAAATTTTCTTTTTTCCTGGAGAGAGCTCCCCACTTTTGGTTGGAGTAGAAATCCCTTTTTTAACACTCACTCGAAACTGTTTTGACTAGCACATCCTGTTCTTCGTTTTCATGACTCTGTTCTTGCTCCACAGCAAGGAGGCATCTTCTGGGCCTTGGCCATGTAAATCTTGGTCTGGGCCAATGGATTATTTAGGTCAAAGTTCAAGATTGTAGGTCATTAATTCTGTCTGTTTTCTAAACCTGCTGGATCGAGGGGCTAATATGGTCCTGGAGTTTACTCCCAGCTGGGCAAGAGCCCCAACTTGTCTCTGAGGTGTTGGGTATTCTCGTAGCTGGTGGACTCATTTTAGCTTGTGTGTGTGAACTTTCCTTTTTCTTTTTGCTTATATGGTACACGTATGCGCTCTTCATCCTTGAGCCCGATCCTAGCTGTAACTGATACAGTGACACTGTGCTTTAAACAGGGCCTTGTTTCCTGGATCGCCTCTGCATACTGTTATGCTTAGGTGGTTTGGGATTGACATGCTTTTGTTGCCAGACATAACCTGTTGTTTTTCTAAAGTGTGCTGATGTCATTAATGACAGACACTGGGACTTACCGTGCTGTGTCTGGTGATAAGTAGTATTGGAATGATGCTTATACTTTGGGATGGCCCTCAGCTGGGACTAAGAGGATTTTGTTGGGCAGGAGTAGAGTGGATGTGCCCAGACTCAGGACCAAGTGGGGAGGGCTTGAGGAATGAGAGTCGATAGTGGGAAATGAAGTTGAGAAGGGCCGACTGAGGCCAGATCACAGAAGTCTCCATTGAGCTGGCTGTGCGGCGTCACTGGCCGCCATGATGGTGGTGGCATACCTCAGGTGGACTGGTAGAGCAAGGTGGTCAGTGATGTCAGTGTCCATGTGGGGGGCACAGGCCAGAAATCACACTCGGCCAGTCCCTCCAGTCCTTCTGGATCTTTTCCTTCCTCTGACCTCAGGGTTCATGACTGAGAGCTGGCTGGCACGGAGGTGAAATGCGGAGTGGAGCCCAGGTGGTGCTTCTTCCCTGTGTCTCCTCTATTCATGGCAGAGTGTGTGTTGCACACATGAGAGTGTGCAAGGTAGAGAGAGGGGCTAGTTACACCACAGTTCTTTTCCTCCGTCCTGTCGAGTCTTGGGCATTTGCACATATGCCCAGCAGGTTCTAGGCTGGCTGGGTGGGGGATTTGAACTGCATTCACCATGTGGCATCTGGCTTCTCTAGAGGAGGGCATTACCACTACACCACAGATCTGGCTCTGTTAGAATCTCTCATGAAAAAAGTGATCAGAGCATAAAGTGGATCCTTTTGCTGTGTCTACCGTGTCCTATAGCTAGTCAGACACACTGTCAGAAAAGTGGGGTGCACAGGGCGTCTGCAGCCAGCACCTGTTGTCGTTCAATCTGTTGCGTCAGGAGTGTTTCCACGCCAGCCCCCAGTGTGCTTGCATCAGTGCTAGTTTAAAAAGGTGGTTTCCACTTGGGAGAATCTTCTGGTCCGACCATTTCAAATAAAAACCACATGATTTGTCTTAGGGCAGTTCTGTTTCACTTCCATCATGATTCCCTAACGGAACCCTGTCTTGAGAAAAGATGTATTTTGTTCATTGGTTTTAGTTTTGAGAACAGTGCTAATTAACGGCAGTCAGATTCCCTTGTTCATGTTGAAACTGGGGTCAATGACTATGTTGAGAATTTTCCTTTTTAATATTTCACTTGGAAAGAACAAAAGCAGTGACAATGTCTAAATAGAGTGCTGCCAGGAAAGAATGAGGGGAAAAGCCCAGGTAACGTGTGCAAAGCTTAGCCTCCTCTAACTGCTCCGTGAACTCAGGCCAGCGCCGTGTCCCAAGATGCCTGTGAGGTAGGCTCTCAAGGTTATACTTAGGATTATTTATGTTGCAGTCCTGTATTTCACCCTGGGGTTAGTTCATCGTCACGGTCAGGTTCCATTTCTTACAGGAAAGCTTTGCTTTGTGTGGCCACCTTTTTATAGCTTGTGTGAGTTCCTTTTTTATGTCATGATTTGACAACAGTATTTTTGCACAATCGTGACCGTGTGTGATGGTGTCACTATAACCAGAGTACCTGCGCCAACCTCGTGCATTGTGTTTCCTCTGGTATTGTGCATTTTCCGTGTCCAAGTGCAAACCTCTGTGGCTTTCTTCGGAGGATTCTGCCACACAGCATGCCCCGTGACCTGCCCTGCCCACTGTGGTGTGAGCTGTGACAGTGGCAGCTTTCCTGCCCTCTAAAGTCCTGAGTTGCTTTTGGGCAGGGGATTACATTGCAAAAACTAATCATGTAATGATAAATCTTCCTTAGCAGAAAGAGTATGTTTGTTTCATGTGAACCTGTACAGTAAATAAAGTGGAAATTATGAGTAATACTTTGACTAGTCTTCCCTAACTACATTTACACAGATCAAAAGCAAAAGCTTCCTCCGGAGCCAGTGGTAATGTGGTAGTTAAAGTGCTAGACTCCCACATGGTCTACTGCAGTTCATGTCGTAGACCTGGCAGCTTGAAAATAACTCCAGGCGCATGTGCTTGTGTGCCCAAATGCTGAAAATATGAAAGATGAGGGATTGCCCTGTGGCCAACCCCACTGGGGGTGTGATTTCCCACTTTCCCTCTGTCTGTCTCCTGGTGAGCACATGCACCCTACAGAAAAAAAAAAACTAAAACATTTCAAAAAGGAGCTTCTTGGGTCAGCCAGTGGCGTGGTGGTTAAAGTATCTGGATCCCACATGGCTGACCAATTACATGGTTTGAATCCTGGACCAGAAGGCTTGAAAAACATGCTGGGGTTCATATACATGCCCAAAAGGAGAAAAGGAGGAGGGATTGCTGGGGATCCATTTGCCATGGTGGGTGCATTTTCACTTTTTCTTTGTCTTTTTTTTTTTGAGAGGTTTTGCTATAGGGCGTGTGTGCTCGCCAGAAAGACAAAGGCAGAGGGAAAGCGAGAAATCACCCCCCCGGGGGGCTGGCCACGCTGGAGTGAGTTTAAGCCGCTGGGTCCAGGACTTGAACCACAGTCGACTACATGGGAGTCCAGCAACATAGCCATTATGCCAGCTGCTGGTCCCATCTCACTCCCTTTTTCTTTCTGTCTGTCTGGCAAGTGCATATACCCTCTGCCAAAATTTAAGAAACAAAAATAAGAGAACCTTTCTTTGAAGTTGTCCCTGCTAAGGTTAAGTCAGTGGCGGTGAATATTCCCTGGGCTCTTAGAATCTCACCCGTTGATGGGGACCCAAGTCACTGTAATGGTTTTGAGTTCGAGGGGAACTCTGGTCGAGTCTGTTAAGGCAGTCCACTGAAAGTGTGATAACTGCAGAGCCCTGTCCCTTCTAGTGGTGGTTGGGAGGTGAGGGGCTGCAGACTCTGGTGCTCCCCTCCCCCAGAAAGTGCCATTCGACTACTAGGGCAGTGTGGGCGTTTTTTGACCTTGCACGTTGTCTGTACAGGGACAGCAGATGACCGTGGGTAGGCCCAGCCCTTCGATCACTGGGGTTCAAGTTCCAGGGAGGAAGAGCACCAAGGGTGCTGGTGCTGGCCAGCTTGTCCTGTCATAAGCACTGTACAGTTCCAGTGTCCAATGTCTTGAGATTCGAAGCACATTTTTTAAAATAAATGGTAAAACAGGTCTTTCCAATCTAGGAATTCTCAGTTGAACATTCAAGGTCTCATCATTTCATGTGTTCTCAGAGTCAGTTTCTTGACAGGTAAAGCAGCCATCGTGATAGCCATACCTGGTTTTGCTGGCCCTAGGAAGAGCCCGAACAGATAGCCAAATGTGAGCCGGTGGCTCTGAGGCTTGGTTAGGTGAGGCAGACGGCCCTCCCAGCCACACGGTGGACTTCAGCTGCACCTCCTGTTCAGCTGCATGTGAACAATGGCCCCCTGCACAAGGGTCTTCACCCCAACTGAATAATACTGTTATTTCTAAGTACAGGAGTATCTGCAAGTTTGGTCAAATAGGCTGGCACCTAAATATAATGTTGAACACTGGTGTGGTAAGAGGTAACATTTAACAGGTTAAAATTGAGTTGTAACTTAGATGTTTTTGTTTTTGGATATTCACCTATGGCACCACCACATATTTTTTTAAAACCACGTGTAATAAAGTCTCTCTCCACAGTGTTCCAACGCCCCTTTATTTATCAAATGTGCAACAGGGGCCAGCAGGTGGCATGGTGGTTAAGGGCGCTGGACCTTCTCTCTGTCCCTCTCTAGTCAAATTAAAATAAATAAAGTTAAATAATTCTTTTTAAAAAAAGTCTTCAAATTATGTACAAGGAAATTGGTAAAAACCAAAGACTGCAGAGCACTTTGGAATTTGGGTTAAAACTGTCTCACATAAAACTGTTGGAAGGCTTGACATCATCTACTAAACAGCCTTTACGGACAGTGGGAGAAGTGGTGTGACCACCAATTGCTCCTTAGGCTCTTGTTTTCATTCAGCCTGGCTGTACTTGGATTAGAAGTGGGAGGAGATACCTCCAGTGTTTTTAGCATTGCCTTCTAGGGGGTTTCCAGGCTTGTTTTTTTTTATTTGTTTATTTTTTATTAGGTTTTTGCCATAGGGTGGTGCACTCTGCAGAGACAAAAAGGAGAGTGAAGAATGAGAAACCATCCCTTGGGGGATGGCCACATCACAGTCTCTTCTCCATTCTCCTGGGATTTTGGGCACATGCTCAACATGATTTTCAAGCTGCTGGGTCTGGGACTCGAATTGCAGTTGACCCTGTGGGAGTCCATCACCTTAACCACTACACTATGGCTTCTCTTTTTAAGGACAGCTTTATCCTCCTGAGGAGACAAACATAAATAGAAGACGCTCCTTTGATCCCCACTTTAATGTGACAGTTTAGAAACTGGTGGAGTAGTGCCCTTGCCTTTACCCACCCTGCCTGGCTGCCCACACAGGGGCCAGTGCTCTCAGCCTTTCACTCCTGGACTAAACGGAACCCCAGTGATGCAGCAGGACAGTCCCAGGACAACAACATAAAGGGCTTATAAGGCTGGTTTTCGGTTTCCTTAGTCATGAAATTAAGCAGATTATTGCAATTCAACTTGTTTCAGTTCAGTCATCTGTAGAGCCTCACAATGAAATAAACTGACCTGCAGAACTACTTTTACAAAGCAGACTTTATTAACACATTGAACAGTTTTTTTTAAAGAACATCTAAAGAAACAAATTCAAGACAAAAATTCTTCCAGTAGGTAAACAAAATAATCTGTGTTTAAATTCCTTCTCATCAAGATGACTTTATTCCGTAAAATGGTCCATCAGCTGGGCAGGTTCAGTCTAACCGGCAGTATGACACTGTAAACACGAGAATGGGATGACACTGCTGTAACTGAATGTGCAGTGAGTAGGACCACGGCCTGCAAGAGCAGCGGAGCAGCTTAGTGCCTGAGACGCCTGTAGTGGCTTCACTAGTGAACATGTCACAAGTTAAACAAAATGAGCACTTAGGAAGAAAGCCTCCCCTTACAGTTTCTGGCAGAGGATAGATCACAGAACTCAAGGGAAAAGTAGATTCCTCTTAGAAAAGCAAAGTTTTCACAGCAGGTTTAATAAATTACAAATGTAGGGGAGAAAAGTAACCAGTGAATAAAATAGTTCTTTAAGATTTTCTTCTTAAATTAATACACTGAAGGGTTACATGTGAACCAAAGCATGTCACAAGCACACGGCAACAGACCTCAGACCCTGGAAGCAAATGTCAGGTTTGGCAAATACAGCAGAAGCGTCTTTTCATTGTGAATTTCTTGGAGCAATAATTAAGTCCAGAATGAGACAGCAGAGGGAGCATTTAAGACAGTTTCTGGTTCTTCAAAATCTATTCTTTAAGGCATAATCAGAAATAAGTGCCAAGGCTTTTGGTCCCTTCTACTGTATTCTCACATGTTCCCAAGGAAATGCATGGCAATGAGTAGACTACTTCAGTCAGTGCAGAAAGGGAGAAGTCCAGGTTTCTGGAAATTACAGAAAACATGTGAGGGAAACCTGGCAAAAGACTATTCTAAGATTTGCCACAATCATCTCATTTTGCAAATAAAATGGCTATACAACATTCAGGTGCTTAAAGCCTCTTATTTAAGTGTTCACACCTCTGCAAAAATATACCATACCGTTTTCCTAAACTCTTTGGTAGGACAGCTTTTACCTAATCTGATTCTTAAGAATACAACTGAACAGCCACGATTCACTTGAAAAGTTGATTTTATGACAAATTTCCTAGCTGCATATGTGCTTGTGAGTAGAGATTACCAAGCAGTTTTGCAAATGGTTGTCATTTTTTTAACACCTACAGGTGTGGGGTGGGGAGGAATAAATACAGTAACCCATTTCAGTCCCATTCAAGCAACCTCCAAGCAAATCTTCATTTCCTTCAATTCAGCATGAAAGAAACAGTTGAAGATATGTGGCCCCAGTTTTGTTTTACCTTGGTAAAAAAATAGCTTCAAAGTATCACAAGTAAACCCATGGAAGTCTAAGGCAGAAGTAAGACCAGGAAGACCATTAACAGCAATTTGGGGAGCTAGACCAATGTTCTGCATTTTGAGACAAGCCATTGTTTAAACATCAAGATAAGCATTAGAATGATTAATACAGCCTACATCAGAATTAACTATCTTGTTCGCTGACAAAAGGTGGCTGGCATCATGCAGATCAGGATTGTTAAGGGAAAGGCTTTGATAAAGACGTGCAAGCTAGCAGAAGTCTAGGAAAATCAGTGGAGGCCACTCTTGCCCATTTCTTCTTTGCACAGTTCTTTTTCATAGACCTTGGCATCATCTTCAGTACAGCTGTTACACATGCAGAGACGCAGTATGGGACCTGCTTGGCACGAAGCTCCAAGCCCTCATTCCATGTTGGTCAGAGACTGCAGTTGTGTGGGCACTGAGTCTGTTTGTGGAGTCAGCTCACTGAGCTCACTGATGGTGGTGGCCAGCAGAGCATCCTGGGATACCACAGAGTCGTCTGATTTGCAGGCTGTGTCTGCTGGACTGTCCTCCTGCACGGGAGGTATGCTGCCTGGTACTGTGGCCAGGTTGTGGAAATGGCCATTTTCCGCAAGAGACAACAGCTTATCCGAGAGTTTGGATGATGCATATTCTTCATCAGGCTGTTCAGTCTTATGCCCTTCATCATTCTTGGGTGAGCCCTCTACAATAACAAGGAAAGACTTCCATGGAGTATTCTTATCGTGTATCTACAAATTAAGCACAAAAGTCACTAGTGTGTCCCTGAATCAGTAACTACACATCTCCCAACTTACAAATGCTTAACTAGTACATCTTTTTAAAATTTTTTGAAGAATTATTATATTTAATTTTATTTATTTTAATTTGATCAGAGACAGCGAGAGAGAAGAGAGAAGGTGAGAAAGCAAGCTGTTAGGTCTGGGACTTGAACCACGGTTGGCCATGTGGATTGTGGTGCCCTTAACCACCATGCTACCTGCTGGCCCCTTAACAGGTACACCTTTTAAATACTGGTTCACTGGAAAAGTCACGATGGAGAAGATCTCAGGATGTAAACCCACGACCATTGCAGCTGACCTACAAGTGCATCTTGTACAGAAATAGTCTTCATCTTAAATTTGGCTTGTACCAAAATGAAACAAATTGTCAAATAAATACTTGCCTACCACTATGGTCACTGTTAAAACCTAGCACAGACTATGCTTTTCCTGGGCCTTGAAATGGTTCTTCACTCAGAATGTACATTATACAAAGAACCTGAGAAGAAGGGCCAGCAGGTAGTTTGGTGGTTACGATGCTGGATTCCCACATGGCCGACAGTTCAAGGCCTAAACCTGGCAGCTTGGAAATCATGCCAGGCGCACATGCTTATATGCCCCAAATCCCAGGAAAATGGAGGAGAAAGGATTGCAGCATAGTCATCCCATCTGAGAGGATAATCGCTCACTTCCCCTCTCACTGTGTCTATCTGTGTGTGTCTGGTGAGTACACACTATGACAAAAACTGGAAGGAAAGAAAAAGGAACCTGAGAAGAAAGTACCTGTTGTCCTCTAGCCACCTTGTAGAATGATGAGGTTATTTCTGCTAGGTGTATCTAAGGGCCCAGTTTGTCATTCTCAAGCTGTCCTACTGCTTACCAAGGTGTGCCGCCGGAGAGTGGACTTGTCAGTGAAGGTCCGTCCACAGGCGTTACACATGAAAGGCTTCTCTCCAGTGTGGATTCGATGGTGGCGCTGGAGAGCATTGAGCTGGGTGAATTGCTTACCGCACTGGTCACAGCAATAAGGGCGTTCTCCTGAGGCAGGGAGAGAAGAGAACTGCTGGTTGATTGCTGTACCCTGTGGTACAAGTGTAATTCTGAGTGTACTTGAGAATCATGCTGTCTGCAAACCACCAGAGAGCCTTGCTTTTCCAACATAAGAAAGGCTATGTTGGGAATGACTCGGGTCAGCTGACATAAACCTTTCTTGTATTACCAAGAGTTTATGGCAGACATCAAAACCTGGCTAAAATCCATACTAGCCTATAGCTAGTATCATATCTATAGAAGTGACAATTGCTTTCTACAGTAAGGGAGCATAAAATTCTAATCCCTCTGAGAAATGAAGTTGTTCCTATGTGTGTGCATGTGTAGACAATAATATGTATAGGTCATTATCCCTATTTACTGGGTTTTGTTGGAAAAGTCATAATGCATTTTTACATAGACAAAAATACTTCATGATTTTGTGGACAACTCCATGTAATCTAAAAACGTTAAAATGCGCACATATCCACAACCAGGCAATCTGTCCTTTTCAATAAAACCTCCAATGAACAAAGGGACTTAGTTGTCTCCCACTTGCACATATAAGTGCTCCTACTTCTCATTTGCTCAGAGCCAGACACTAGAAACTCTTTAAAAAAAAAAAAAAAAAAAAGCTATTATGACATACTGAGTTTGACCAAAATTTTCTCCTAAAGTTTAATTCCAAGTAATTTTCAAGTATATCTAACACCTCAGGAATATTTTTTGTGCCAACTTGAACTCCCCTTCCCTGGGACATCCCAGCCATACCTGTGTGGACTTTGATATGCTGGTAAAGTGAATTCCGCTGGGCAAAAGTCCTGAAACATACTTCACATTTAAAGGGTTTGGATCCAGTATGGATTCTATTGTGATGTTTTAAGTACTCCTTAGAAGCAAAACTCTTGCCACACGTTTCACACATAAAAGGTCTTTCACCTATATGAAATGATGAGATAAAGTTAGAGATGATAAAACACATAAAATAAACACCTGGGAAGAATCGGTCCACACTTTAAAGCCCATGTGAATGCCTCAAAAGTGCCTTGGCAGGCAGCATAGTACATTTTCTAGTTAAATCTATCATAAAACATTTATTCGAGCAAGATGCTTGCTACCTGCTAAAAACTAGTGTAAAATATCCTTGGAAATTCCAAGAAAAATTTCACTAGACTGGAATCAAAGAAGTGTTTGTTCAGCCACCTCACATCTTAGAAACTTAGTCATTCCAAACAAGAAAATAATTCCACCGCTTCTGTTTGGAGGATCTGTTGGATTATTTTCAAAGAAGCACTAATATAGATCTTTAACAGAAAAAAAGTCCCTCTAGAAAGGAGAGGAAGTTTACAAAGGACACACGTATGTACATATGTGTATGTACATACCATGTATATATACACACCATGTCTATACATATATGTGTGTGTGTGTTCTAGTGTAGCAACTCCAATCAACTTGTTTCAAATCTGGGACAAAAAAATGTTTTAACCACCGTCTCACTTTTTGTAACTTAAATTCTTTAATCTCATAAATCAGATTCATCTAGTTATTAAGTGTGCTCCTGATTTCACAAACATTAGAATTAAAATATTGGCTTTAATAAAGTCAATACATTAATCAGCAAATGACCAGTTCCAACTTAATCCGTCAAAGTAACCTGACATTGTCCCCACCCTCAAGCTTCCAAACACCTAATCTGCTCATTCTGCATTCCAATAATTCACATTAAATGCTTCATCTCTAGCTTGCCTACGTTTGAACATGGCAGCCCATGACAGTGCTCGTAAGGATAAAAAATGCAAGCACAGAAGGAACTGGCTTAGTAGAATCAGGGTAGATTCCATATCCTGAACCTCAGGGTTACTGTAATGAACCAAAGTAAAGCCATATTCAGTTTTTTCCCCCCTCACATAAAGATAAGATAGAAATGAGATAATCCCACCATCTTAATGCATTATATAACAATTCATTGTCTTCTGGTCTTTTACATGCAGGTTTTCAATACAGTGGTGATCAACTGTATGCTTAATTGTGCATTTTTAAGTCAACATACAAGCAAAGATGTTTTTCATACATATTCTTATTCTGAAGGCGGGGTCATGAGCCCAGGACTGGATTTACCAGTTCACTGATCACCGCTTCATAGTCAGACCATCAGGTTTTTCCCATTTTTTGTTACTAAAGAGGGCTAAGAACATATCGCTTTCCCCAGATTTTGGACAATTTATTTAAGACAGATTTTTAGAAATTGAATTTTTTGGCTGAAATAGTAAGAATTGTTTCATACCTCTTGATTCCCAAGACCCATATGCTAGGTCCTATATTGCTTGGCAGTGCAAAAGCCATAGCGCACTCACACCAGCACTAGGGACGATGGACTTTTGTTTTTTATTTTTTGTTCACTTACTACATGGAAAAGCTATGGCATGGCTTTAACCTACACCACCTCGGTAGATGCCAGCTTCCACGTTAATCAACTGCAGTCTCCATCTACAGCTAGGAAAGACATTCAATCACAACAGCATGAGTATTTACCTGTGTGACACCTTTTATGATAAATCAGCATGTGGTTCTGAGTGAATCTTGCACCACATTCATCACAGACAAAAGGTTTTTCCCCTGTATGAATTCTGAAAGCACAACATTCAAATGGTAACTCAGGATGTATTTCAAAGCTCACTTTGCAATACAATTTCCATCCTAACCTGCAAAAATTGTTAATTCCAAGAGACCTAGTAATAATGAAGTGATAGGTCAAAAGCGCATGATCTCCATCCCAAAATAAACTTTGTCTGCACAAAGCCAATAGATTGCTGCATCTCCCTATAAGTCACTGACGGTTCATCGGCATCTGCTCAAGTACCTGTCTGTGCTATAAAGCATGTGCAGATAGGGACCATGCCTTTGCGTATTTTTTAAAATAAAAAAGAGCACCACCTGATATTGGCAAAGCTTTCTTATTTGTAATAACCAGCCACACACACCTTGGGAACTATTGCTGACCAACTACCACATGACCAAGAATTACCCTGTCATTTCCTAGTGTGGCATAACTAACCTAAAGAGGAATTCCTCAAAAGGCTGAGGAAACCTGGTTTCTGAGAAGCATGCATAAACATTTTAATTTCACAAGTGGCATGAAGTGGTAATCACCATGATTTATTGAGCACCTCCTAAACCAGGTTCTTCAAACTTACGAAGAAGAAAAGATGAACCATACAACCACGCAAAGACCAGCTTAGGTTTGGTGAAGGCAGATTTAGAACACAGTAAAAAACCATTTGGCACCTCAGGCATAAATAGAACTGTAAGGAAACTTATTTAAAAACTGGCTACCACTCATCTGTAGTTGAGACACAAATTAACAAACACGGTCCTGATCTGAAATGTAGACTAACCAGATGGCACACACTGCAAGCCTGAGAACTAAAAGGTAAAACCAGAGAAGGGTCCTAGAGCCCTACCAGTCACCTGCTGAGGTTGTTAATGGGATCCTGGGACTCAGATGGTCACAGAACCCAAGTTCTAATGAAGAGTCAGGAAAGAAATACTCATGTGGTATTAGCCCCAACTCTTCCTCAGGTAGAGAGGGAACCATACATGTCACAGCTTCTTCAGGGGAACAGGATGGCCCTGTCCACAGGCCCTGCAAGATGTGACCTCCACTGGCTTTGGGAGCAGCCTCTGCCACAGGAGGGTGTGGTGCCCTGCCCTCCTTCCACACATCTGTACTGCTGGAATATGCCCCTCATCGGCTTGGGGTCTGTAGGACACTAGAAGTTTCTCAAAAGTAAGAGCCATTTCCTGGCTTCTCTGCCTGGAAAGAGAATTCAAAGCTATGTCATAATCATCTCCAAATTAGGACAGGAATCAAGAAGTGAGAAATCTAAAGTAGCCAGACTGCTCCAGATCCTAGGGACAACCTTGATTTCTCTATATGCATTTCAAGAAAAGTGTTCCAGGTCGCACCCCAGCCCCATCTAGAAGAGTCTTCTCCACCTTCTGCTTGGGCCCTGCCCTGGGCCTACCTCGTGTGGGTCTTGAGTGCAGACGGCTGGGAGAACTTGGCCCCGCACTCGGTGCAGCCGTAGGGCCTGTCACCTGTGTGTGTGCGCTCATGAAGCCGCAGTGCTGTCTTGGAGCTCAGGCCCTTACCACACTGGCCACAGCGGTGCCGTTCACCACCACCCTCGTGCACCTGCACCACATGCCGCTTCACATCCTTCTTGCGCTTGAACTTCTTGCCGCACAGGTCACATGGGAAGTGGCGCTCGCTGCTGTGCACGTGGCGCTGGTGGCTCTTCAGGTTGCAGCGGTTGGCGAAGGTCTGGCCACAGGTGTCACAGCGGTAAACCACTTCGGTGGCCACCCCGTGGTGGTGCTTGATGTGCTTCAGGAAGCTCTTCTCATACAGGAAGGCTTTCTGGCAGATGGTGCACTGGAAGTTTGTCTTCTTCTTCTCTGCCTCCTCGTCCTCCTCCTCCTCTTCCTCCTCCTCCTGCACCCCTGCCTTTGGCATTGCTTCCTCCAACTCAGCACCAGCACCACAAGACTCATTTTTCGTGACTGGCTCCGTCTCTGTTCCCATACTGTCTGGGATTGGGTCCTGAGGACACCTGTAGTCCAAGCTGTCATCCTCAGCACTTTTCTGCTGCTCTCGGAGTCTTCTAGTATATTTCTTCTTTGGAATTTCCACAAATACCTTTCTTCCGGCCAGCCTTCCACTAGCTCTTCTGATTTTAGGGTAGAGAGGCTTAACTACCTCTTTCTTCTTCTCTAGTTTTTCCTTGGATTTCTTCGGTGCCATATCTGGTGACAAGCCATTGCTGATTCCCTCTAGTGGGTAATCTGAGGAATCTACAAGGTCACTGGTGTGAGGACCATCCACAGCCTCACTTGTCCTGGAGTCCACAGCAACACTGACTTGGGAGCTGCTTGCCTCCACCTCCTGAGACTCTGAGAAATTCTGCAACTCCAAAAGTACCGACTCTAACATCTGCTTCTTTAATTGAAAGCAAGTTTCTGATAAGTCCAAGCATTTTAGCTTTTCAGCCATTTCTAGCATTCGCTGCACCCGATCTTCCTCCACCTGTACCTTTGCAGTGTAGACAAATTCAAGAAAGGAAGCGAAGTCAACAACCTGTACTTCATTTAAGTAGACAGTCCTAGCACCATCCGCACTCTTTTCATTGAGGAACATCTCCTTAAAAAACTTGCTGGTGGCTGCCAGCACTGCTTTATGGGCCATGAAGTCTTTGCGGACGCCCTGATACTCCACACTGACTGTCACGTCACACAGGTGACCGAGGAGGCGTAGCTCGTGCATTTCATGTAGAAGGTTAAGTGGTGAAGATTTGGATTCCAGCAGAACTGCACCATTTTCCATCTTTCTTCTCACTCAAAATAGCTTTAAAAACAAATACAAGAATTATGTCATGCATGAAGCACTCCTAAAGTAAAAGGACTAACGTCTGAGGACTATTCCAGTTCCTCAGTGGACGTACAATGAGTAACAGCCTAGCTTTTCTCAAGTAAACATTCAAATCAGGGCCAGCCATGTAGTGCAGACAGAACGCTGTCAATGCTGGAGCCAACTGGGAGAGCCGAAGTTTGAATTCCGGGTCAACTTGAACATGCCAGGCACACTTATGGGGCACTGTGATGCTGGCTGGCAGGAAGGATACCTGTCTGTCTCTAAGTAAGCTTCAAAACAAACCAAAAAGCCCAACATTATTCAAATCCATTTCAATACTTACCAGTTTTCTCAAGTTCCTGATGCACTTTTAGAAGATAGTATTTACATAAAAAAATACTGTTAAGATTTTCCCCTAATTAGCCAGCCAGTGGTGTGGTGCTTAAAGTGGCTGAACCACACATGACCAGCTGTGCAGTTTAAGTCCTGGACCCAGCAGTTTGACAAACACCAGGTGTGTATGCACATGTGCCCAAAATCCCAAGAGGAGAAAGGAAGAGAAGAAGGGACTGCAGCACAGTCGTCCCCTGGGGGTACTTTCTCTCTCTCTCTCTCTCTGGTGGCACACATGCCTTATAGTAAATTTTAAAAAAAAATTTCCCCCATAAACATAGACAATTAAAGTTGAAATACTTTAAAGTCGTAATTTGCTTATCAAGGTTATTCTCTCATTTGCTTCCAGACATAGACCCTAAAGTCTAACTAGGGGGACCAGCAGTTAGCGTAATGGCTATGTCGCTAAACTCCCATGTGGTTGACCGCGGTTCGAGTCTCGGACCCAGTGGCTTAAACTCATGCTGGGCGTGTGTGCGTGCGTGCCCAAGATCCCAAGAAGAGAATGAAGGAGAAGGGATTGCAGCGTGGCCATCCTCCCTGGGAGGTGATTTCTCACGTTCTGTCTCTCTCGTTGTCTTTCTGGCGAGCACAAGTGCCCTATAGTAAAAACCTCTCCAAAAAAAAAAAAAAAGTCCAACTAGGAGTTACCTCAGTGATAATGTCTAGTTCTTTGATGAAAAAAAAAAAAAAAACAGATTAAAACGAAACATGATACCAATGACTAGGAATAAACCTTAGAAAGCATTTGTAAACAACCATGAGGAAAACTTCCTGGAAAGGTATCAGTAGTTCCCAACCCATTGCCATTTCCAACACCCTAAACACCTCATAATTCACTGTTGCTCTACTGTATGTATCCAACTTCCTCATCTTTTACAAGTGGTGTTACTTTGAGCAAGTTTTGTTCCCTCTGCTGTAGAGCGTGTTTGGCTGCTCCACCAGGACCTCAGTGAGCAGCACCTTAAGTGCTCACGTGGCCGCCGGGCAAGGTGGGGCCATCCCACTTCACAGAGGAACCAGCAACGTGACGCTGGCTGGCCAGGACTGGAGCTTGGGCCTGGGTGGGCTCTCCAGACAGAGCTGGAACTGCTCAACACACCCCTTGCCCCACGCTTCCCCAAATGCAAAGTGCTAATCTGCACCCCTAGATCTTTCCACCATGGTTGGGATGCAGGCTTCTTCCCCTTGCTCGGCCAGACCCTGGCGCCATCTTGCCATCTTCGCTTCTGTACTGGTGGCTCTCTGCTCTCCACTGTTCTCCAAGGTCCGCCCCTTTCCCAGCTCACTGGGGTTCCTAAGGATCCACCCACCCAAAGTACCATCCGCCTCCTGATCTCCTTTGGCCGATCTCGGATGTCACCCGGGCTCAACTTGTCCAGCGCAGAACTGCTCCAAACACGGATGTCACTGCCCTCTGAGAGCTCAGCTGCAAAACTGGCCCGTGGGAGGCTTGAGCAATGTCACCTGAAGGGGACTCCGCAGTGTATGGTGTGAGCCTGGCAAAGCCCAAGTAAAAGGTATGGGGGCGGCGTATTAGTGACCCCTGCTCCAGCCTGGGAGAATGGAAGGCAGGTGCCCAGAGTTGTCCCCAGCCCGACTTCCCAGGTCCACACCAGGGGCCCTGGGTTGGGCGTTAGTCCTCACAGGAGCCACTGTGATTTATTTCTCAGTTGGTGCACCCAGCAGGTGCCGAGCTCGCTTCCTGTCTGGCCTGGGACTGGGAGGGCAAGCACTGACCAGGGTGACATCTGTGTCCCGCTGTAACTCATTGGCATTCCAGCCGCCTCTCCTTGCTCCGGGCACCCGCACTGACGTCGGTGGCTCCCCAG